AGCTTCTAAATTTTCCGGAAATTTTGGGACCTGGGTAGGCCGAACCGGCTCGCGCGCCGTAGTCTGTTAATTTCTCCAAAATTTTGAAGCCTAGGCGCCCCGAAGCGTGCTGCACCGCATAGAGCCAGTTTGGCCGTAGCATTTTATAGAGTAGATATTTATCCTTAAATATATTTTAATTTCCAATTAAATCCTAAGATTTAAATTATCGTTCTAGCAGACCTCATTTAGAAGTCCTCCTTCGCAAATATTAATCTCCTCAATTCTATATCTCCTTGTGCGTTCCGAGCTAGTTCGATCAACATGATTTTATTAGTTGAAATGAGATATAGAATATCGAATCTCCCAGTCATGAAGTCCAAAAATCAGGTTTGGCTTCAATACGTTCGAATACTTCCATCCATACGAGCATGTGGCAACAATCAAAGGATTGAATGCGGATCTATGTAGAGGGTATCGGTTCTGGTCTAGGTACCGATTCTCCAAACCTAGTACACCATGCAGTGCCAAATCATGAGGCCCCAAGAACGCTAGTCAGCCAGTCGCGCATATGATGCGAATACCTGAAGACCCTATCTCAGCACAACCTTATGCGAGCAAAGCTTGACCTGATCATCTTTTTGTGTGCTGCATTGCTGCATGCACGAGTGGCAAACGCTATGTCCTCAGAGAACTTCACAGGGTCAGTTGACACTCATCAGGGTGGAAGCCTTCATAGTGCCGGCCCCCTCTGGGACCTGGACTTCCAGCGTGTAGTCAGGTGCAACAGTCTGAACCAACATGTGCTGAGGCCCCCGCAGGCGTTTGCTGCAAAACCCAAACAATTTACTCTACCTTGGCATGCAGAGGCACGGTGGTCCTGGAGCGGCCTCTCTGCGGAGCCTTTTGCTGAGACCCGGGCAGCAAGTCCACGTCGTCCTTCGCAGCCGATCGACTCGAGGCCCCTGGAGGCTTGGCCAGCTTGGGCACCTGCAAGGTTTCAGATCCTCATGCAAAGCCTATAACGACCTAATAACATCTAATAACGCCCTCGGACGAGCTGTACAATTCGTGCCAAAGTGATTGCTCCACCGAGCACCTGCGTTCTGTAAACCAACCCGACTGCAGGCATGGATGTCATGCAGCTGCAGCTGTTCGACTCGGCCCGCAACGCATTACCACTGCAGCCCACCTCTGTTGCTGCCGTATCAAGTGCAGTCCTGCGTGCCTGGTTGCATTGTGAAGCGGTGCATTCATGTATGCAGTATGTGTGCATGCATACAGACAAAATGAGAAATCATCAAAGAAATACCTACGTATCACACATGTGTGTGTGTGTATGTATATCTATATATATATATATAGGTATACTCATACATCTGTATATCTATAATGTAATACGAGGTAGTTTAATATTTTATAATATGATGTTAAGTAATAGAATGTAATCTGATGTAGCATCATGTAACTTACCGTGAAATAGTTTAATATAATGTGATATGACAGTTATATATATATATAGATATATGGTGTTATCGGGAATGTAGTATAACGCAATGATGCCTCAGTTTGCGGCAGTTGCAGAGATGCTTCCAAGCTGCCTCATCTCCGCGGTCTCTTCCGCGATCCCGGAGATCCCTGTCTCTATCGCGATCCCTGCAGGCGGAGGTCATTCAGGGGCCTAAGTAACTTTTCAATACTATTTTGGGGGTTCCTTATTATAATTACGGTATAGTGGGCCCCAAAACCCTATTATAATTAAGACCCTTATATTTGCGGGATCAAAGAAACGAGACCTGCTCTCCCGCAGTGGAACCTATTTGGGTTTACGGGGTTTTGGGGTTCAGGGTTTTGGGGGTTTGGACTCCAAGGGCTTAGGATGGACCATCGTCTGACTGGGACTGCTCTGCACTGCTCATGTTTGGAGAAGATCAGTGTGTTGAAGGCCAGCCTGTCCCGAGGCCCCGCGTCGCTGGTGTAATTCATCAGCTGGGGTGCATCGAAGTCATCCTCCGGCCGGCTTGACGGGATGTTGTAAACAAGGCGAGCCAGGCCAAAGTTTCAAAGCGACACGAAAAAGGAGGCTACGACCCTGCAGAAGCCAGGTGAAATGTGCGGCCACTAGAAGATATTTACTTCTCCATATCTGCCTGAAGGAAAGCTCTGCTGTCGAGCAGAGTTCTTCCCTCTCGAAGACGTACGCGGCGTCACGCACGCCGGCATTAGGGCTGGGAAAACGAGTTTCCCATCTCCGACATGTGCAAAGCTGGGCGAATTCGTTGTGCGCCTGATGGCATCCAACTTCGCCTTCTAGGTCGTCTTCGGATGTTTTGTTTGTGCTTCTGTGCATTGATGGTAAGGCAGGTGCTGAAGAATCCACTGCTGCTTCCAGGAGGTAGATCTCAGTTCAAGCCCTGACCCACCCCGCCGTTCTGGGACAGTTTGAACGCTGCAGGCCTGGTCGCCTTCGATGAACTCAGCATCAAAGCGCGTGCCGACGCTGTCCAATGCTGGCAGCACCACGTGAGCTCTCACTGTAGCTTCTACAAAGCCTGCTGGGCCCGGCAGCCTGATTCAGGTTGCTTCACACCGATGCCGGCGTACTGAACGGCGGCATGGGAAGCGAAGCCTGCAACAGTGTCTGCCCTGGTGCTACGAAGCGCATGCTGTGCAGCACTGCAACATCCACCGCTGGCACGCGTGCCGTAATTTGCAAAGACACCCTTCATGCGGTCGTTCTGAGACCTCAGCAGCCGCCACGCAACTTGAGTGGCATGCGTGAGATGGGGAAATGAAAGCCGGCCGGGCGTGAAACTGTGGTCAACAATTACTTGAAGAAAGTAACTAGAAGCAATGTCGAGAACAGGGCAGCAATATCAAGCCACCTGTATCGGCTGTCCAAGCTCGCACGCTTGCTCATCTGCTGGTTCTGTGCCTTTCTGAAATGTCTTGACTGCTTGCTTGTTTACAGCATTGACGCATCTTTGCCAGGTTAGCTCCCAATCTTCACCTAGACTCACAAGCACATCACAGGTTGCATGGAGCAGGGTGGGGGGGGGCAGCTCAACCAGGTGATTCATCTGCTCTTTGATGAAGTACAACACATGGAGAGTTTAAGGGAAAAGATGGGAAAAGGGTGGTGAGCCGGAATCATAACCCCGAGGCAGGTTCCACTCCCAAGAATGACTGCGCGCCAGGCAAATAGTTCACGGCGAACAGCACTACCTCGGACATCAGCACTGTGTCTGCTTGCTTGGCCAATATCAACCGCAGCGCAATCGGCACAAAGGCCTACCAGGGTGAGAAGTCCAGAACACCAGCAGCCGTCGAAAAGCTTAGTTGGTGCATCATGCCCTTGCTGTGTGTCCGGCTGCCAGCATTCCTAGGGCTCCGAGAACAGACCAGGCACCTCCACATAGACCGGGTTCTCATGCATCCGCACATGCACCGTCTGCAACGTGCACAACTTTTTCTTGCTAGCATGTTTGATGGTCTGTCGTTCCATGCGCTGTCAGATACATCCCGACAAGTCATGTTTCTACGCTCGCGTAAGCTCCACATACATCACCTTTGCGAGATGTCCGAATTTCCGGCGCTGCCTTTGCTCATCGGTTTAGGGGGACAGGGCACGGCCACCTGCACAAGCGGAAAAGCTTATAATTTTCTGTTGTGAGTTGTTCCCATAATCAAGTTGCTCGGCTGCATGCCAATCGCATGTCGCTTGAAGATCAGAGGACATGCCAAGAAGATCTCAAGAAACTGTCTGACTGGTGGCTGCAACTGCCTGTTGTGGCTGCCAGCCGCCCTCGCAAGTGTCTCCGACGACTTTGCGATAGCCAGTCTGCCAGCCACGGATCGCTTTCACGATTCTTGCCAAGCAGATGGTCACGTGTGCAGAGAGTGCGCGTGCGCCCCTCTCTCTGTGTGTGTGTGTGTGTCTGGGTGTCGATCTCCTCATGTCCTCTCTCTGGGGCTGGGGACTTCGGGAACTCGAGTCGCCGCTTCAAGATCAATCCAATCCGTTTGGTTTTGTCCTATTCCGGGCGTGTGCTTTGGGACGTGGGAAGGGTGAGCTGTCTTGCGAGGGCTAGCAGAATGCGGAAGCCAGGGCGGAACATGTCTCGACATACCCGCATCCACACGGGAGAGCAACGGCAGGTGGCATGTCCAAATCAGAAACTACATTGCATGCATGTCTACTCCGGACATGCAGCGACATGCTGAGTCATTGACGGCAAAGAAGTGGTCGTTCCTCGCGCAGCTGTAGGGGATCTGGCCAGCAGCAGAAGAGAGTGTCTGTCATGCAGGAGACCGCAAAATAATGAAGCTACTGAGGGATATGATCTCATGCAAGATTGCACGACTTGTGGCGATGATGCTGCGACTACTGCATCCCAAGCCTCTGTCTGGAGCCTAGGCCTATGCACTGCTCCTCAGAACAAGGACCCACGACTGCTCCCATCAAACTGGGCATGCTGGCCCACCACATGGGGCCAGCTGCGTTGGAAGCAGCAGTTGCTATGAAATTGCGCTGGGTGCCGCTGTCTTGCTCTTGGGCGGGGGTGGTTTTGAGCATTTCCTGCAATTTCGAGGTCTTCCAAGCAGCTCACCAATGCAGCGGAACTTTGGGCTCTTGCTCCCGTCAAGGGGGGCAACAAAAACTTCAAAACGAGTCTCAGCAAGCCCCCATCCACTGCTCCCTCCTTACTGCGCCTTGGAAACATCCAGAAACCAACCGTCCGAACGCAAGCTACTCGCAAGCTGAGGATTTCGACGCGACGAGGCAGATCCACGCAAGAACAGCCACACTTGTCATGACCGGCCTTGATGGAGCCATCGTCGGCATACTTGCAATCCATGGACCCGACCTTAGACAAACAGACACCGCAGAGCTCCTCACGGATCTGCGTTCACCAGTGGCAGCTTGGACTCTGACTGCACGGGTGAAGCCCACTTCGCACTCGAAGTTCTCTTGGGTGCATTCGCAATTCTGGCGAGACTCTCACATCGCACAGTGGTCTGTTGGATCCGGCGGTCTTCTGAAAGGAGTAGGCGGTAATATTGATTACATTGACTACTACCTACAGAAGACCTCCTGCCTTGCGACTCTGGGCCGATTTGCCAGGCCGGGCCTTCTTGCTTATCGGGCGCTCGAACTTCTCGCCATTGAAGCATTCCGAAGTCTGCTTGCGTCGGGTATATGTCGCCTGCACACAGAAGCGGGGCTACGAGGCGGGCCCTCGGGAGAAAGGAACAAAGCATGTTGCCTGATTCCACGCGCACAATCTCTTTAACGCCCTAAGCCCTAAACCCAACAGAACCCTTGTGGCAACCGTATGTTAACTACCCTCATTGTGGCACCTTACAGGAACCCTCTTTGGCACTTTGGCCTCCTGGCTGTTAAGTTGCTGGTGAGGTGACGTGCGGCTTTTTGCGCTCTCTGCCGGGCAAGTATAGGACACCAGTACGGATACTGAGCTAAGGGTACTAGAAACCGGGTTTGAGTACCGACAACGATCGACGTCTGCGCCGGCAAAGCATAAGGATGCACAGATATCTTTGCTGAGCTGTTCATTACATGCTGCGGCTGCTAAGCGACATACAGCTGTATCTGCCGGTCCAACGTATGTTGAAAATGGAAGCATAGCACGCAGCTGCGAAGAAGCGCATTGTCAGATCAGATGCCTGTCGCTTTTTGTCGAAAAACAGACCAGAGAGACAAGCCGCCCCGATGTTAAGACTGACTCCAAAGCCAGAAGGGTCTCGTCATAATGGTCATGGACTCGGTCTTCAGGCGCAGTCCACCTCGTCCGCAACGTTGAGAGGCAAATAGCCAGAGCTTGCGGCTCGTCCCTTGATCGTCTCGAGTTGAAGTCTGAACGCAGTGCAAGAGGTGAGCAGCAGGCCTCCCTTTCTGATCCTTTCCGAGGCACTTCGACGACCAGAATCTACGCCTACGCGAAGGATCTTTTTCTGTTTCGGCCTGCGCCCATGTGCAAACAGGAAACAAACGTGATCATCAAGGAATGCGCCACGGTTGCGACAGTCCTGATTGGCGACATGATACCCATACAAAACATGGAGCATCGTTGGAAAGGCACGCTACCGACAGATGGCTGAAGCAGAACACACATCACTTTCAGATGCCCGCATTTCGAAGCAATCCAGAAAGAGGTCTCTCCCTGCTTGTTCGTGGCACATAAGTCAGCACCAGCCCATACCAGAAGCTGCACCACCTGGTCGTGGCCATATGCTGAAGCAATCCATAAAGGAGACGTCCCAAAGCCGTTTGCTTTCTCCATGTCTGCACCAGCTTCCAGCAAGAAGCGGACGATTTCCAAGTGTCCATGCCGTGCAGCCGCCCACAATGGCGTCATGCCGCCCTTGTCGGCCGTGTCAATTCCGGCTGCAGCCCAAACCAGCAGCTGTGCTGCCTCTGCATGGCCCTGCTCACAGGCCATGCAGAGGGGCGTGGCGCCTGTTTCATGGTTGGACGTGGTCGTATTAGCTCCAGCACGCAGCAAGAAACGCAGAATCTCCACATGGCCGTAACTGGCTGCCACCCAGAGCGGGGTGGTGCCAGTAATCGCCGGCTTCTCCATATCGGCTCCAGCCTGGAGAAGCAGCCGAGAGGTCTCCAGGTGCCCGCCTTTGCACGCAGCCCACAGAGGCGATGCACCAAAGAGGTCCGTCGCTTTGTTTGCGTCCGCCTGAGCTTCGAGCAGCAGGCGGACGCAGCTCCGGCTTCCGTGGCTGGCAGCCACGCCAAGGACACTTCGTCCTTCCCTCCCCTTCTCACCGTCGACGCAATCGGGATCCAGCGGAAGCCGAAGAAGACACTCCATCTCTTCAGCCTGGTCCAAAGCTGCTGCAAATTGAAGCGCCTTGACCTGCCTTGTTGTGGCTTTTTGAAATGGAAGAACGACCAGCAGCACTTCCTCAGAGGCGAGTATCCCCAACGAGTCATCGTCACTAATTGGCAGGCTTCCAGCCAGAAGTCTTTGTCTATAGATGGGTATGCCAAGCAAATCTTGCAAATGATGCTTGACAGTCTTCGCAGAATTTCCTTTCGCCGCTGCAAGCTCCGTGATCGCGTGAGCACTTATAGCAGCTACCTCCTCACCGGACAACTTATGAATTCTCATGATGACTTCAGTGGGTCAACTTCTGCGATCCACACCCCGCGCCAAGACTCGGGCAGATTAAAGCGGCCATGCAGCTTGCAAGTGAAGGCGCGGCTTCAAGTCTGAATGCTGCATGGTGAGCATTACCGGTTTCCCACTAGCTTATAAGATGCGGGGCACAGAACTGCTAGGCTAGGAGGCGAAACAAGACCATCATGTCATTTATCCATGCTTCGACCTATTCTCTCGAACCGATCTCCGGAAGCAGCTCGAACATTATCGGGTTAGTATGAGAAGTTCCGGCACGACTTCTGCGAAGCTCCAAAAGTTCCGTCTCTGAAACTGGGATCGGTCTACGATGAGTCCCGATGCCGCCTGCTTGCCCATGAGGCATTTCTCAGTGCTCTTGCCGTCTGATGGACTCCAAGTTTCCTCAGCTCAAGCTGAGGCAGCGCAAGAAATGTGTACCAGATGAGGTCAGGCAAGAGGCGTAGTCGGAAGAGACGGAGTCCGCGGCCCAAACACCCTGCAGGTTGCGAGTGTTACACGGAAGTTCGCAGAAGCATTGCACCCAAATGCCAAACGTGGGGAAATAGCGTTTGGGGGGGGAGCAAGGATACTTCGACTTGAAGCACTGCTGGAAATCAAGTCTCCGAGGCACTTCAGAGACGCACTGTTGGGGGCGAAAGCTTGTCTAGATGCCGGATGTGGCAGGTCGCTTGCTCCTGATGCTTTGCCGAGCAAAGTCGCATCCTGCCAAACCTTTTGTCTTGTGCTTTCGTGACTGAGTCGGAGGGTGCCGTTTGTGTTTGCGCTTGAAGATTCAGAACATTAACATCTGCTGGAACAACGTGAAGAGACCGGAAAGGGACACTGAAACATCGCCGAAAAAGGATAGGCAACGTCAGTCCCACAAGAGTGCGCTGAAACTCAGTGCCACTGAAGAAATATCATCGGAGATACACACTTGCCGGCTTTTTTCTAACGGGTTCGTGAAGACTAAGCAGCTTTCACAAGTGGTTGCACAACATTGCACAACGATGCTTGTGCCCCGAAACAGAACAAGAGGCAGCGGAGACAAGTAAGAATCCACCCCGCCAAGGCCCGGCTACTACTCGGATTCATCCCAGACGGCTCGTCCTTGCAGAGAGGCTGTCCCAAGGTCTCGAAGTTCAGGTGGTACATCACTCCCTGACTTGCGAGCTTCGTTAGATGTCTAGGCGATGCAGGCGGCACCCGCAACAGTAAGAGGCAGTCATGAATACTGGAAATCAGAACATGCCCCAGCGGCCGTATCTCCACGTGTGCCGTAGAGGAGGAACTTCGTTGAAGTCGCGTTCGGCTCTGTCACGATGTTGTCCACCTGCTCCCGCTCAGTGCAGTTACAGGGTCGCAGAGCATTTGGGGTCTCGAGATGTTGGGATTTAGAAGGAGGTAGACCAGTGCAGTTCATGACATTTCTGGATAGCCTGACCCGTCGCCCTGTGAAAAGCTGTGCAGCTGGCTAGAAGCCTGGCCTCGATGGGCATGGATGAGAGCTCAAAATCATACCAGCTCTGCCCTTCGTTCCACGAAAACACCACCTCAGAACTGCAAGGAAATTTGCAGGGACCACGTGACAAGCAGCAGTTTCCCAGTTTCCCATGTGAGTGCTAGCACTACGCTGCGCTGGGAGGCCAGCCAGCTTGGTCTTCCGCACATCGTCGGCCATGACAACAAGGCCGCCATGGTCTCCATACTCGTAGATGAAAGCGCCTCACAAATCACCAACTAAAAAGCCAGAGCTCTCTAGAAGCCTTGCATGTCGCAGCCGCAGCGCATTAAACACCAAAAATGCAATGTGCAAGCTGCGCCACTGCGGAGCTCGCACCCTTGATTGGATATGATTGTGTCGTGAAAGCCATGCCATGACGTGTTGTCCCGTCCTTTGTGTGCTTCCAGCCATGTGAGGCCGCCGTCACGGGAGAGGTAGGTGTTGGTCTGCCACCAATGAGCACATGCTTCGTCTGCAGCGAAACAAACGCAGACCGGCACACTCGGCGTAGCGGTGGTAGCCTGGTCTGGCTCGAAGCGCAGGTACGGACCAACATTACCGGTGCCTTGGAGTTGCTGAAAAGACTTGAAGCGTCTCAGAGGTTGGCTCTACGGCTGCGGTCACAAGCGTTCAATTTCAGGCTCCACACTTTAAGTAACAATTGTCCAGCTTTTGCCAGCGTCTGAGCTGACGCACCCATGATGATGCCGATGGCATTCTCAGTCGAGTAGAAAGGCCTCTCATGCCGCACAAACTTAGTGCATCTTGGGCCTGAAGCAGGGCCAGTCTCTAAGCGCGAACGGTGCCGAGTGCCCCGCGCGTAGTTGTGGAAGTTGGTGATGCCGTGCCTGGCCATGCAAAGGCTGCAGTGCGTAGTCGGAGTGCTTTGATTGTGCTACAGCTCAGAGTGGATCATTTTGAGGCGGTCGGGATTCTTTTTCGAGCGATGAGGGGCTCCCCGACTTTCGAACCTCTTGACCAGCACATCTCTTTGATTTGGATCCGCGGCCAATGCATGATAACGTCCATTCGTTCGGTTCCCAAAGCATCCACAGCAAAAGAATGATAACGACATCAGACTTCGCTGTAATTACCCCTTCTCACGTGGACTTCTCCATATCCACTCCACAAGGCACTTCACCTTAACAGGCTAGGGCGACAGGTGCAGCCAGCATTTGTCTGGAGGGCAATCGATTTGCTTTCCAGTGGAGTCCACGCGCGGAGGCTTCAGGTAGGACCTCCCCACTCATCTTTGCGGAATCTCGCAGTCTTCTGGTTAAGACAGCACTGACAAGGTCACCTCTCTGCGAGGACGGCATCGTCATGATTCAACAGCAAGCACTGCAGGAGCAGTCTGAGAGCGCATCCATACTCCACCCTTGTCGAAAGAGATCACAGTGCGAACCTGAGAAAGGCGACAGTCTAACATAACCAGGAGCGGTCTGCCAACTGCCTCTGAGCAACACGGCAGAGCTGACCCTAGAGCTGAGTCGTTCAGGGATGCATAAGAACCATCTGGAGCCGCGGCCACACTTTCCTCTTTGGCCTTGCTTTTGGGCGCCCTCCGCTTGTCCACCTGGATGACAACCGCACCACACATGCCCCCGCAAGTTGCGATGCGCTTCAACTCTGGGTCGTCATGAAGGTTGACATTCGGGTCTACGCTCGCGTCTGCGACTGGGGCAGGGCTTTTTCATGCCAAGGCTAACACACTAGAATTTCCATAACAAGGCTTTGCATTTGTGCTGGTGACCCGTAAGGTCTATATCATCTTGGCGTGATTGTTAAGACTATGGTTAAATTGGTTCTGATTGTTGTTGTGATGCCGATGATGCGGATTCTCAGTAGTCTCATCCGAAACCCTGCACCGCCGTATACGATGATCGAATCCAGGCCTCTGTGCCAGCTGCTGCTTCGCCTTCCAGTGCTTCGCTCTCGGCTGCTGCCTCCTGGCAGAGGCATGACGACTAATGGAAATGGCAAAGAAACAACTCAGCCAGCCTGAAGGATGAAGATGTATCAATACCGAAATAAACAAGCAAATCAGAGTAATCAGTGTGCGTGTGTGTATGTGTATGTATGAATGTAAGCACACCAATACATGCGCCCATACATCAATGCGTTCATCCATCCGTCCGTCCATACATATATTCATACATACATTCATACAGACATTCATGCATACATTCACTCATACAGTCATACAGGTATGTATATATATATATATGTAAATATATGTATGCGCATACATATTCTACACACCCATCCATACGTTTATGAGTGGATGTGCAATGTCAGATCTGCCACGACCCACCTTGGCCACTTCTGCCCCACTGGATGCAGAGTCGCCAGAACGTGGGATGTCCTCAAGGTACAAGGCTTGGTTTGGGATTTAGGGTTTTGAGGTTTTGGGTCTGAGGTTTTGGAGTGTAGGTGTGCATGCGCTGGAAGTCTCTGATCTTGCTTCTTGCACCAGGCTGCAAGCAGAAGCAAATTCCCATCGTGCTTTCTCCCTGCACCGTCAATGCAGAAACTGCAAGGTGCGGTTAGCTGCCTTGAAGTTGGCCATGTACACGCCCTCCAAGCTCAACACCTTCAGTTTTCGGATCTTCACTGTCTTGGCAGTTCGTGCACACTGGCTGAAGTCACTTCTATTCGCCATGTCATTTGCAGAGCCTCTCACGCTTCAATTATGATCGGCGCTATGGCGTGCCAGCACCACTACGGCGACCACGACAGCCACCACTCTGACTTCCAGCAAGATTACACATACTGGCACCAGCAACCACGACTAGCACGAGCCGGCAAGGGCAACGGGAAGAACAGCGGCAAATGGAGGCCGATGAAAGCCACCCCAACGGCCCCCACTTTAAAATTACGGTAGTGGGGTTCCGGCCTTGTCGAACTCACAGTCACCGTTTGTGCCACGAACGTTGTTTGGAAGGGACAGCGTAAAGCGGAAGCCTCGGCCCATGTCTGCAAAGCGGAAAGGGTGCCCGGTGGGACCCTGGCTTCCACTTTGGTACTTGCAGTAGGTATAAACCTGTAAGCGCAAGCATATATATATATATACACATACATACATATCTGTGTGCACATGTATGACCAGATGCATGCATAATCATGCATGTGGAGCGAGATAGAGAGACAAAGACAGAGAGAAAGAAAGAAAGAATGAAAGGAAGACAGGCATTCCCATCTAGTTTATCAGATCCCTCACAGTCTTCAGCTTTCTCACATCGGCGAAGAGCAGCTGAGACTGAAGCCTTTCTCGTCTGAGATGTACACGTTCCCCACTTGATTCTGCAGGCGTGTCTAGAAAGCGCGCTGGCAAACGTGCTCTGTGTCGTGCCACGTCTAGGAGATGTCTTAAACTTTGATTGCCGCAAGCTCGTAAACCCAAACACTGAAGCCCTCGTGCCTCCTTTGCTCCATGGTTGACATGCAGCATCACCAGCCCCTCGGAAGTGTCCAAAACCTGAAGTAGAACTGCAAGATGAATCTTGCTCATGGTTTGTCTTCATCGTGCGTATCATTATCACTATAATTGATTACATGTTTATGCCTTCTTCTGAAGACCACGCAGCCTACTCTCGTCGGCTGGCCGCGGCGTGCAGATGGAGACCACTTCAGCTCCGAACGGTTCATCCAATGGTTGAACATGACATTGGCACATATGTTTCTATTCTTTATGTATATGTATGCATATGTGTATATATGAATACCTATGTATATTTATAGATATATACATATTGTTGAGCTTGTTTATAGGGCAGCACTCCGAGCTTATAGCGCACAGTCATCAAAGTAAACAGGCATGTACAACGCAAATGTCTATTACTTGGCAACGGCACTTTTGTATCTACACAGAAGGAGGCGTCCATGTCGTCACGTTCTCTCCCACGTGCAAGACAAGTTGTTGTGCGAACAGCGACACTACTGTAACACCCCACTGTCTGCAAGCTGGAGGGAGTGAGTGTCTAAATTCTCCACCACCCGGCGAAGCAGGTGGGAGCCAATGCTGTGGCACGCGGCAATGTTTGCTCTCCCGTTATATATTTCGCGCACACATACACTAGCACTACACTGGCAAGACACAGATGCGAACAAGGAAGTGCTTGCTGAAAGCCTACGCGAAGACAACAGCACGCTTACAAACTACTACCAACACAATACATGTACAGAGGCCGATGGAGGTAAACAGTCTTCAACTGAATTCTGATCTGCTTGCTGGTCCAGCGGCTGTGTACGACTTCTCGTCAATTTCGGTGGGCAACTGCAGATCGAATAGCGAGAAAGCCAGGTGAAGCTACTGCAGGTGATCTACAGCTGTACAAAACAGTCCCTGTCATACATGACAAGGGCACAGGTGAAGTAGTGTGACCGACGAGAAACCCTGGATCTAGAACCTGCAGCCTGCGCAGCGTTGAAGGAGCGACCGCCATCTGCCGAGACCATGAGATTCACAGTCTGGGAGGTTACGTCCTTCACCTTGGAAACCCGTACGGGAAAAGCATTGCAGCGAAGACTTCCAGTGAGGCCAAGATGAGGCCTCGCATCATCTTGCATGAAAAGGCTGGGTGTACTGCTTTGGCTACGAAGATGAACTTGTGGGACACCAGAAACCTGAGGAAGGGCACAGTCCGTTATGCAGAATCCCATGTTGGCTGGACCAGAGTTCACCAGCCGTCTGACCAAGGCCAGCGCTTATTTCCCATGGGAACCATAGTGGTGGACCTGTCTGAAAGCTCAAGAGCGCAGTCTGCACGAAAGTTTGTCGAATAGAGTCCGAGTTCCTGCCACTGCAGATTGCTGGCAATTCTCGTGCCTTCTGCCATCGGCTTCCATATACGCGAAATCCACGTCGTTGGACTGGTCGTACCCAATGCACAGAGCAAACGGGCACTCTCGAGACTATCACCTCGTGAACTCCGAGTGCTGCACCCATATGTACAGCTTGGGCTGGTCGCCGGTTTTCTTTCTAAAGTGCGTAAAGTAGATCCTGTCCTGCAAGGAGCATGCCCTGTCCCAGTACTGCATCATGAGCAACATGCGACGAATTCAAAACACCTAGTGCTGTCGCTGGGCGACAAGCTTTCATTGGATAGTTGAGCTTCCCATTTCTTGCAAAGCGCGGGCTTCCGGCAAAAGCGAGCCTGTTGTCCCATGGACGGATCTCCCCAGCTGAATTGCACCACGTAGTTCTGCCTGGCGCGCCGTAAACACTACGGAGAATGCACGTTGGTGAAAGATTACCCAGCTACCCGAATTATCAACACAAATTTCTTTTGTTTGCGCATTTTCACAAGAGGCCACTTCTCAAGACGCTGACCAGCCGGGCGGCCCCAGAACCCCGAAGCTTGTGATTCTTTGTAATCGTAATGTCTTGCTTGTCTAGCAGCTTGGTCAAGGAAGCAGAACGTATGCAAACCGCACATCCACATTGACATCACAACGACATTTAATCGATCCAGCCTTAACTTGGCACAGTAGGCATACTGTCTGGCCATACTGTGACCAGACAGAGTTTAATATTGTGGACATATGCACCCCGACGTAAACAGGCAGGCAGCACACAAGACTGAAAGTCTTGCCCAGGTCTCTGGAGAGATACAGCATGTGGTTGCAGGGACCTTCCAGTGTAGGACTTCTGGCCGCTTCACGGTGTCTCTCCAGGAAAGACTACACTGTCGGGAGAAATGTGCGCAAGTACGTGGAGGTTGGGACTGATCAATGCTCCGAGGCACCACCGCCATCCTCCTCGCCCTCCGCTGGGGCGCTACTCTTGTCTTTCCGGTTGCCTCGGGCTGATGACTCTAGCACTGTAGGCGTACGCGGTTGCTCCTAGAACATCAGAGAAAGGGTAGGAATAAGGACAAACTGCGAAGGCAACATGAATGCTTTGACCGTATTTCTGTCAGGAGAGCGGCATGTGCTAGTCCACGTCGACAGCAACAACCAGGTTGGCCGCCTCAAGTCCGAGCAATGACTTCACGGATGTGCTTGAATTCAACCAAGATATCATGCACCACCGTCTCTTACGCCAAGACACAATGAAGCAAGGGAACCGGCTGTCAGAATAAGAGGAGATGATGCAACATGCCGCTGCGCAAGAAACCGTAACTTCAAGCGTCAACTGCAAACAAGGCCGAATGTCCTGCCCAGATATATGCCCGGAACAGTGAAGCTGGCGTAGAAACACGATGCAAAGCAAGGCAATGGTTGCCTGCTTGCAACATGTCGATGTATACAATGCTACGTGTAGTTCTGTAGACAAAGCTCAATGTCGCACATGCTGCAACGCATAATGCCCAGTTGAACGCTGCACAGGAAACAGACAAGCACGCCACAGCATGAGATGTACAAGGACCTAACTAGGGAAATGAATGCAGACGTCCACCAACATCGTAGTAGCAGACGGTCGCCGGGTCGCATACATGTGGAACAGCGCGAGAAGAGTAGATACCGTAACGATGAACTACGCACATATCATCCTCTTCAAAGGACTTGCATCTTCTGATCTGGGTTACATAAGAAAGGCAGAACATGACGGAAACCACTGTTCACTGCTCTGCGCAGCAAGGGCAGCCGAGCATGTCAAGGCTCACACATCTTGTGGAACATCACCTGACAGGTCCAAGGTGAGGATTTAGGGTTTAGGATTTAGGGTTTAGGATTTAGGGTTTAGGGCTTAGGGTGTTATTTCATGGCCTGCGCTTGTCGACTCCATGCTCGCGCTACATCTCTTTAGCAGGCGACATGTTGCAGATGGCTGCAGTGGCAGACCACAGCCAGCAAAGGGGTAGAACGTGGCTGGGGGAGCTGGGCAAATACAAGGTCAAAAAGCTGTACAATGATCCCCGCCTTTACTACGGGCAGCCTGATTAGGTCTTAGCTTGAATCACTTGCCAAGTGGCCGTGTGGATTTGCGATCTTTGCCGGATCTTCTTCCAGGACGAACCCCTGCCAGTGGTCTGGGGGATTAGAGTCGCGATCTAGGGGCAGTAGGCGCTGGCAGAACACGAATGCAGGACATCAGAATGTCTGGTAAAGCGCGATGCAGATCCAAATTACTAGCAAATATTGTGAACGGCAAGACCAGCCAATCATGATGCATGAAAGCAGCAGAACTGATCCGCAGGACAAGCGCGAGTCGAAATGTGTCCTAGACAAGTCATCCTGCGATGCTGATGCTGAATTTCAGTTTACATCTGACCACACCATGGCCTGTTGCTGGAAATGAAGTTGGTCTTCTTGTTTCCAGAAACCTCGAGAGATCTCTTCATGGGGATCTTTGCCGTCCCACTAGAATCTCTTGCTCTTTCGGCGTACGCTGCATTGAACCACCAAGCTCTAATGCCCCATAACTCTACAGCTGAACTCTACATTCCAATGTCCAAACCCTGGCACCTTCATCCTAAGCCACAAACCCTAAACCTGACAGCTCCTGCTCCTGACCACTAGGAAAACGTGAAGCTACATCCCCGGTCCGCAAACTCCCAGATCCTAAGCCAGGATCAAAAGGAGCTGAGGAGACAACGAGGATGGTGTTCGGATCGGCAGGGCTCTTGGACATCGATTCTGCGGTGAATGGCTGCCTCGAGGTGAGATCGCAGTCTGAACATTAAACTAGTAGATCTATGATTTGTGATGATGGTTCATGATGATCACTGCACAAGTATGACTACGATTGCCCTGACTACTACGATTGTTGTTCTGAGAAGAACGATCATAGCTTCAAGCTCCAACCTTCAAGTGATGCTCAGCCTCATGACTCTCCTGTTCCTTCTTCTACCTTCATAGGCTGTCGATTGCAGCCGCAGCCCGCTTCCCGCATTCCGAATTAGCAAGCAGGCTAAGGTTCGGACGGGGCCGAGCCAGGGACATCGACTGGAAAGGCAAGTGCAGGATTGAGGGCTTCGGGTCTAGGGGCGCGGGTTTTCACGCATTTAGGGGCGACAGAGGCGTCATGATGAGGGAAAGCCAGGCTCAACTTGTCAACAGTCTCAAGGCGAGTGAAGTGCAGATGAGCTTCATCAACTCACTTGCGAAGCTGGTTTGTGACCATGAGAGCTCCTAGATCCGCTCGTGTAATGCTGATACGGTGTGCGATTCCTGAGAGAAGCCAATGTGCATACTGATAGACAGCCAGCATGCGACCTCAGCAAACCACACGCCAGAATACCATGAGGCCATGAGGCCAGGCCACTGCTCGCGAAAACAGGACCCCTGTGCTGTTGCGGGCCTTTGAAGTAGTCTGTGATGTCATTCCAGGTTTCGCCGCCGTTGGTACTGCGGTACAGGCGCCTGGCAATCGAACTCGCATGCATTGAGACATACCGCACGTCCCATGCCACACCGGCGCATCGCAAACTCAAGGTCTGACATGGTTCTCCCCGCATCTTCCGCAACACTTGGCAGGGCGGTCCCCTTCGTAGTCTGCGTGATGACCGTCTTCTGGTCTTCACCCAGCCACTGTCAGGGGAGGTCAGGTGCGTCATGGACAACCCATCATCACGAATGAACAATTGAGCCTACTGCTGCAAACTTACAGCTTCAAGCCGTGCCAGTAACACCGGCCCATGAGAAATTGTTCTTGCACCAACCACTAGACTTCACTGCGACACCCACGCGCCTGAATGTCCGACACAGCGCTATCGAACACGACTTCTTTCACCGAAACTGACACAGGGGGCCACGAGCAGGTACTCTGCAAAGGCTTCATGCAGGCTCAGTCCATCACGTGTCACACATGTGCCAACCCAGCTGCCTTTCTTTCCTGCTCGGGCGAGGCTCACGACGGCCAACAGGAGAATGGCCTGCAATCTGGCAAAAATACCCAAAGAGTTGCATCCGATTTCGAAGGGCAGTTACTGGAGCCGTGCAGCTTTGAGTTCGTCGAAGCTAGCTTTGTTATTGGTGTGCGCTTTGAGCTGGCTTCAGACAATCTGGGAGTTTCAGAAAATAAGGGGTACCTTATTTTGGGGTCCTTATAATAAGGATCCTACTATTTAGGGTACTATATTAGGGTCCCCTATTTTCGGAAACCCCCATCTGGCCTTCGCCCTCATGTCCCTCATAGTGGTCCATGCGCACTCAAGACAAGACCGGGCTGCAGCAAAACTTTCGGCTGAGATAGATTCCAAGTGATGGAACGATCGAGCGAACGCCCCATAACTGCTTGCTACACCATATGTTTATATAATACATAACATAGTATAAGATAAGTAAGATCAGATAAGATAATTAAGATAATATGCGTAAGCAGGTCTTAGAAGCTGCAGGAATCGCTGTTGGTGCTCATGTTTCCTGTGCAGCTAAGCTAAGCTGGACCGGTTTTGAACCATGGAATCAGCGAGCTGTGCTTCAAGCGTTGTGATCCCATCATCAACGCGTAGCACCGCGAAGACGCGGCATGTTTGTGCAACTGTCCTTGTCGACTGTTGCTAATGGGCAGACTGCACTCGCAACAGTCGAACAATGCATGTTTTCAGCAGCGAACCTGCCCAAGTGAAACACTTTGCTCGAAGCATGCCCCCTTTCGTGCTCATGCTTAAGACCCCTCAGGAGACAGCCACTCTGCGGCGAGATTTGAGCAATGTCTCTCTCATCGCGCACCCACAGCGCTAAAAACGACTCACCAAGGCAGGCTTACGCACATGCTTGAGTTTTTTGTGTTTGGCCTGCTTCTATCAGAAGACAACTGACTCTTGCGGACTCTTGCGTGCTGCTGCAACTTGGGCTCTCGTCAACTGCTTCAAATAATCCCCTGGAAGCAGCAAGCCTCCAGAGATGGGACTGCCAGCGAAGTCGTCTTACAATGTTCACTCTTACTTGTTCAGCAGCTTTCAAGAGCTTCAGCATCCGTCAGACTTGCCGGCCGACTCCCCTTAAAGTCAGCACCCGGTCACACCAGGCTACCACGTGTGCGTCAAGTGCCTGGGCCAACTGACAACTCAACGAGACACGAGGTAAGCCCTGGGCCTCTATATATAATACGAAATGAATAAAGAAATAAACCAAGAAATATGCATGTATGTATGTATGTATGTATGTATGTATGTATGTATGTGTATATATATATATATGTATATATGTATGTATGTATGTATGAGTGTATATATATATATATATGTGTGTATACAATGTGTGTATATATATATATATATAGGTACACAGTTAATATAAAGCTGGCAGGCCTCACACAGAGGCTGGAAGCCAGCGCTGGCCGATCACAACAGCCTGACTCTCCCATCAAGCTCGTGCCTGGCAGAGTCTGAACAAGCTTCGGGAATGGAACAACCGTTTGATGTAAGGCTGCTGGAGACGGGATTTTGTGCTGTCGTCGTGGGGTAGCTTCTGAATTGACAATACCAGGTTCTTGCTTTATGGCATTTTGATTTCAATGCTTTACGTAGTTCGACCAAGTTGCTCACTGCCGACATGTTCGTGTTGGTGTTAGGTGGCATGTACGGAAAAATCTAACCCAAGCACCACCCCGTTTGAATCCAAACCTGGCCTGTCTCGGTCGCGGCCTTAGCTTAATCATCTGCTCAGCCAAAGCACGCTTACACTTACCAATCGTCTTTCGCTATGCTATTTCTGCAAAGTGGCTGGAGCTGATTGCTCGGCAGTGCTGGAAAGTCGGTCGACACGGGTGCTGCGCGCGCCCTCGCAACACCCCTCTCTGTTCTCCGGGGAACACCCCTTTCTTTCTTTCCCCAGGGCTGTGGTGGGGAGTTGCCTCCCTCTCTCTCTCTGTTTCTCTGTCGCTCTGTCTTCCTTTCACAGGGCTTCGGGGCGAGCCCATGTGTGGAGGCAGTCTTTTCTCTCTCTCTCTCTCTCTCTGCCTCTCTTCTCAACTACCGAAGAGGACAGCGACATGACGAGATGTCTTCCATCTTCTGACGACGATCTTGCCTGTTCCATGCAGGCGCGACGGGTGGCCTCCAGGGTTCCAAGCGTAACAGGCTTTTCCACAGTGCCGCCCAAGCAGTAGACTTGCGGCCGAGGCCGCAGCTGTGGAGCTGGATTTGGTGGTGCTTGAGCCGGGTAACCCGCGGCGCCTTCAGCGCTTCCTGGACACTTACAGTAACTGCGCTTCATGAGTTTGGGCCAGTATCTTCACGCGCCTGCTGCAAGCTGCAACTAGATTTCTGAGCCGAAAAGCCTAAACCCCAAACCTTCACTCTGCGCTCGCTGCGCGCTTGCACCGTTCACTCGCGACAGTCGTGGCTGCAACTGCTTGGCGTCCCAGCCGGGCTCGTGCTCGTAGAGATGACGAAGGCACAGAGATACGTATATCCTGAGCTGTTCTTCCAGGCCTTTTAAGACTTCAAACCGTTGTTCGTTCTTGAAATAAGAAGTACCAGCCAAAAGCATCTGCAAGAAGGACCAGTATCTGGACACAGTGTCGCTCCTGGCAACTGAGACTTCGATTGCATGCGCGTGCATGACACTCTTTTAAATCATTCTACCAGAGAAAGCCAGTGACTGCTTCTGTGTTAGCGACACTTCGTCGCGCGAACGATAGTAGGTTCCTTTACCGCTGAATGTGCTGATTCCATTGATTCTGCTGTTGTACTTGTTCCTGTCTTTGCCCGCTAGAAACTCCTGGCTGCCCAAGCGGAGTAGCGCCGCAGCAGCTGCTTCCTGTCCCGGCCAAAGCGACGTCTCTTTGAATGGGCTACTTGAGGCTTAGGTCCGTTGTCTGCAAACCATGCATCTCGAGGCCGACTGGTCGTGCTCTGCAGACACTGGACGATCGACATCATGCATTGATGTTCCATTCCCGTGGTATTGCGCAGCTTCTGTTCTGCTGGATTGCGCCACAGCTATGCAACTTCACAACACAAGTGCGTCATGCTAACTCTTGAAAACCATAGCCTTGCCTCATGCTCCGCCCATAATCTCATACAAGAGCAATCAACCAACAACTAAACAAACAAGAAAGACTGTAATCTGCACCTGAATCTCAAAGGACCTCGCCTTCCATTCCCACCAACTTCGGGCTCGGTCGGCTGCCAAGGCTCCGGAGCTGGCGGCAGCGCCCTGTCTCCATTGATGCTCAAACGTCGTAGTAGTAGTAGTAGTAGTAGTAGTAGTAGTAGCAGTAGCAGTAGTAGTAGTAGTAGTAGTAGTCGTAGTAGCAGTGGTAGTAGTAGTGGTAGTGGTAGTGGTAGTGGTAGTGGTAGTGG